TATCGAACACTATTTCTCAGCTAAGTGCTATATTTGTATATATATTTTGAAAAATAAATTATTCTGTCTTTTCTGTTGTTTGTTCGCTGACGAAGGCTTCCTGAAGACACGTTCTTTGTTTTGTTGCTTGTTTTTTTCAGGTTTTAACCTTACTTTGTTTTATTATTTCCTGTTTTGAATAAATATCTTTTAATTTACCTTGTATTATTATTCAATGTAGCTGTTGCTGGAACAAACTGCTCAACATGTCACTGCTTCCTAAAAAACATTAATTCCTGGTTGGAGACAACTGGTCAATGTATTTGTATAGAAGGATGGACAGGCAGTGATGGTTCCACAAAGTTTGATAACTGCCTCAATCACAGCTGCCCAGCTCATTTGAAATGTCAAGAAAGAAAATTTGGTTATGACTGTATTAGTTGGAATGGCCTTACACCTGGACCTCTAGGCATTTGAATAGGTTAGTGAATGTTCCTTTTTTAATAAGTTTTGTTGCTGACTAACCTATTTCTTTATACAGTAAAACCTCCATTTTGCGATCCTCTCTTAAACGTCTTCCTCCAACATACAACCGGAAAATAAAAATTCACCCATGTGTTGTACTTTATAGACGACCTCTCTTAAACGCCTCCCTCTAAAACGCGACTTGCGACCTTCAAATAAATCAATATTACGACCTTGCAACTGAATAATTCAGATTCCAATGTAATGCTATATTTGTGCAGTCGAAGAAAAAAGTTTCGTTTACAACTTTTAAAAGGAGCCGATGCACTAAAGCGGCTAGAAAGTAGTGAAGTAGCTCTTGCACTTTAAGTTTGTCTTTTGAAAACAAAATGACATGCTCCACGGAGCTGACCAGATTTACCTTGAGCAGGAGCCTTTCTTCAGACCTTGCCGACACCATGTCTGGTGTTAAAAGTGACATACTAAAAGAACATGCACGGGTGGGAGGATCATGCAAAACAAACAGAATTAACAGCTTTCTTTCAACAAAAAAAAAAAAAAATGTTCAACGATTGAATAAAAATAATTAAAAAAAAATATTAATACGCTTATCTTATACATAAATAGTTATAGCTCTAAACATGCACTCAGCACTTACACAAGCTTTAAAGCAACTACCATACCAGCATTGATTTTTATTTTGGAATTAATGAGGAGCAAGAAGATAGTGAATGCATTGGTTGTGAGTCGGAGTTTAATCTATATTTCTGAACGAAAGATGGCAGATATTGCATATACATATTGGTAAGCGTACTTTTTTTTTTCACTTGTTTACTTAACTTTCTAAATGTCGTTTTTCGAAAATGTCCTGCCTCTTTTTTAAGACCCCTACAATTTAAGACCTCGTTTTAATGGCAATCTAAAGGTCGTAAAACAGATTTTTTACTGCATTTAAATATTTTCCAAATGCAATGTAGCTATTAAAGGGAAGTAACAAATTCATTCTGATGTATACCTTTAATTCCTAATCTTAGACTGCAACAGAACACTGTCTAATTCCAATGGATTACTGTAATAGTTGTTTGTAGGGTTTACCTCAGAACCAAATTCAGAGACTCCAAAAGATATAAAATAGGCAACACGCATTGTATCACGGATGAAAAAATCTGACCACATCACAGCTGTTCTACGAGATCTCCATTGGGTTCCTGTGAGTGAGCGCATTAACTACAAAATTCTGTCCATGGCGTACAGCTTCATAGATGGCTCAGCACCGGAATATCTCAAGGAACTGATTAATAAACAGATATCCTTGAAAAGCCTGCGGTCTTCAACACAGTACTTACTGAGTATTCCTAGTGTGGATGAACACAGAAAAAGTCTTACGGAGTGCGCTCTTTTGAAGCGATAGCGCCACAATTATGGAACAGTTTGTCCCAATTTTGTGTGGAATTGTAAATGATAAAAAATAATTTAAGAAACAATTAAAAACTTTTTTGTTTAAATAGATTTTGGAGGACCAGAGCGGAGTGAGCATGCTAAAGTGGCATGGATACCAGCGCGATATAAATGTCAAATCAAATCGGATAATGATCTCACATTACTCACTGGACTATGACAATGACAAATTTTGTACATGGACAATCGTCAGCCCTGGACCCGATACTACAATTACTCTAGGTATGATGTAGTTTGTATAAACACAATCTCACTCCGGTATAAACTACTTTGTATAAATACTACCATTACATTCAGACAATGAATTATGTCACAAAAACTGCGAATTCTCTCTCTCTCTCTCTCTCTCTATATATATATATACATGGGCACCCGCAGGTAGGGGCAAGGTGGGGCACTTGCCCCCCCCCTGGATTGATTGGATAAAATTTTTTTAGACAAAAAATATATTGAAGTAAAGAGAAAATAAAGAGAAAGTACCTAAGCTGATGGCCTGTCCGTTCGTTCACCATACAAATACGCTATAGAAAATTAAAACTACATTAAAACATTACTAAAAAAATTTTGCCCCCCCCCCTGGAAAGTTAATCGATTTTTT